TGTAATAATTATGATCCTATTTTTCTTTATTTTTACTTATCGTTATTTTTCACTTTTGGTATGTCTATAACTTTACCATTCCACGTATATATTCATTCCCATTTTGTATATATTCGTTTCTTTCCCTTATTGTACATATTCATTTTACTTTCCGTAGTTTACTTTATAAGTTCTTGTGTTTTTTTTTCATTAATAGCTTAGCTTTTTATTTCCTTTAGTAGCTTCTTTTTCAGTTCTTAGCTTCGTGATCAATAAGCCTTTGGTTTTCTTAATGCCACAGTTCTTTCCAAAGGTGGATGTTGTGTGAATCGGGTGGCTCTTCCCAACGATGGATGGCGTGACAACCTTCTTAAGGGATTGAGTCTATTTTTCTTTTTGTTTTGATATGCAGCAGTAATGAATAAAAGTATCTCAAGAAGGTTACCTTTGACCTCATGATTAGAAACAAGTTGATTTGCAAAGAATAGTTCTAGTTGTGACCTTTAGACTTTTGTGTTGTCTAAACAATCATTGAGTGGCTTCTTGGAGCCATTTGTGTTGCTCAATCTTAGCTGGGGTTGTTGTGGGCCCTCAACTCTATTCTCTTTAGCAATCCAACAGCTTGTGAGGTGAGATATTGATTTGCAAGTCCAAGTCCCATGCCAATAAGTCTAGAACTTTCCCTTAATGTTTGTCTAGGCAAAATTCTAAGTGTAGCTCGACTTGAGAAATGATTATAGGCTCTCCTTGATCCAACTTGAAACTTAAAAGCATCCATATCCCACCAAATATGGTATCTCTAGTCAACTCCGTTGAGCCGAAGCCCTTGTTCTTTCAATAACCATGATACAAGACTTTATCCGTTCTATAATAACCCTCTCTTAGCACCCGATCTTTCCTTAACATTCACAATTGGAAAAAGCATAAGTTTGGGGGGAGAGACGAGGAATGTGAAAGTGATAAGGTACAAAATGAAGAAAAGGGAAGGCAAAAGAAAAGAAAGAAAAGCCAAAAAGTCAAAAAGAAAAAATGAAGGGATTCAATGAAGCAATGATGAAAGGCTTGGAATGATTAGAAAAGGAGAAACATGATTGTCATGAACAAGAGAGAGTGACAATGTGTCTCTCTAGTTCCCTTAAGGAAGAAGAAAATGAATCAAAGAGTCAAGAAAGTGTGAGCCGAAATGAGAAAATGAAGTGCTTAAGGAAAGATGAAACCTTCATAGACCGATATATCCTACCTTGATCCAAATGCCTTCATTACATTCCCGCAAAAGGCCTATAGGATTTCGAGTTGAGTGAGCATATATTAGTGGTGATTCACATAAGGGGCAAGCTTATGGTACTTAAAGCCAGACTTGTGACATTCCCTTGTGAGAGATGAGTGTACTTCTTCACAATCTCTGTTTTGAGTGTCATATTCTATAAAGTGAGACTTGCTCATGGAAAGTATAGGAGGAAGAGTTTGGGTCCCACAATGACTTACGTAATAGAGCGAGCTTCCTTGATGAGTTAAGTCAACTCTTGATGCTCTTGTGTCGCACTAGAACTATGGTACTCAAATAGTTGTCTGTTGTTGATAATGCATTTGTGTTAAGGGTAATTGTTAGTCTCAATTGATGCTTGATGAAGTCACCTTAGGACAGCTGAAATTTTCCTTTCCTTTTCTTTTGGAGGTGGGAATTACTTTGTTTGCTTAAGGACAAGCAAAAGCTTAAGTTTGGGGTAGTTGATTACTAGGGATTTTAGCCTATTATTTGCTCTCTTTTGCTTAGGTTTTGGGTCGAAAATTCATAAAGGTATTCCCGAAAACTGACTTAATGTGTTTGCTTGTAGGTTTTGGTCAAAATGAGGCAAAGAAGTCATAATCAACTCATGAAGGAGTCAAACGTACACAAATCCAAGGCTGGGACTGGAGCACTGACAGCGGCAGAAAAGAACGGCCGCATAAGGACTACCGCTGAGGCGACCACTATTACGCGGTACGCGAAAGTGAGATTCAGAGAAGCTGTTTTTTAAACAATTCTCCTAACTCATCAAACCAAGAATCTTTAAAATAGACTAAGCACAAGGGTGTAACATTTTCACCTCAAGATTTGACTCACAAGTACCATGCATTATTCACAACTCACTCACTTATTCTAACATAGAAGTCATAACATTACCTTTCCCTCATGAATCAAGTGCCCTCACACAACAAAAGAGAGTAGTTCCACACAATAAAATTTAAGAACAATAAGGAACTCAAGATAGAAAGAATTCAATCACTCTCAGAAATAACATTCATATGCCGCAAAAGATGCACCATAGGATTGTCCGTAGTGTACTACTCTACTATTCGAGCTCATTCAGTCTAGGATCAAGTAGGACTTCAATTGGTTGTAATGTAGGCTGCGGGTCGGGTAGGATACATTTGGATATAAGAGAGATCCTCCCTAAGTACTTTAATACATATACTTTAACATTCAAACCCCATACTTATGTCAAATCATAACTCCACCTTCACAACAATGTATATAACTCCATATTTCTTTAAGCACAATTGCATCAAGAGTCACCACTATCAAGGAATATTTTTCACAACAATACAACTATTTTTTTTTCACTTTAAGTGGCTTTTACTGTTTTTCAAAACAGTACACCTTTCTCCTTATTTCATTAGTTCCACTCAAAAGCCAAACCAACCACCCCACACTTTAACTTTTACAAAGTTCATAACAATTCAAGTGCTCATGAGAGGTGAAAATTTTCAAATAGATGGTTTGTTCAAACAAATAAGTAAAGCTTGTAATGTGGTTGCCAAAGAAATAGGATTACAGGCTCTAAGGGGTTAACTACATTACATAACAATTAGGCGGGTAAACTATATATATCTGGCTCAACCAAGAAACACCTATATCGCTTCGAAGACCGAACAAAACTACTATTTCGCTTTGCAAACACACGGGGCATGTTCTAGACATCAAATACAATGCACAGAATAACATACAAACCTCGCGCACACATGGAACATAACTCACTCAGGATTGGACTCATCAAGACACTCTAGTCAAACAGTTACGCAAATTGAAGATTATACGATTTATGGTACTTATGCAAGATTCAAAAACTGAGCCTAAGCGTCACAACAAAAGTAATCAGTATTCTCAAGGCATAACAAAGTCAAGAGATATTGCTTCAATTCAATTCATCTAAAGATGGTCCAATTTTTCTATTTTTATTTTTATTTTTCATATACTAAATTACTACACAACTATTAAAATAAAAAGAAGAAGTTCATATTTTTCTACATCCTACTACTAATTATTTAGAGAATTCTCCCACCCTACAATTAAAAGAGTACAGTGTCCCCAATGCACAAATAAAGCAAAACAATAACGAGGGTGGACAAGAAACTCCCTGAAAGGCCAAAGGCCGAAGCAATAGCGGCTCACGGGGTACTCAGACTTCCCCCAAGCATGATCCTTTGTGTGGCACCCCACACTTAGTTCTCACCATCTGACACGCTTGTCCACTCTTCCAATTGCTTTGCTTCCTATTCTTATAATCTTACAAAATAAAAACAACACTACAACAATAATAAGATGAAAAAATAAAAATAAAAGAAAGCAGCAAAGATGGGCTGCCTCCCAACAAGCGCCTGATTTAATGTCGCGGCACGACACAGAATCTCATCTAGTCATTGGAAAGTAACACCTTCGACTTCTGACGATCAAAGTTATCCCCGTAATAGTGCTTTGCTCTTTGTCCATTCACTAAGAACATTCTCTCGCCACCTAAGACGCGCAACTCAATTGCACCATGTGGAGTGACTCTTACTACCTGAAACGAGCCCGACCATCTCGATTTGAGTTTCCTCGAAAAGAATCTCAATCTCAAATTGAATAAGAGAACCAATTGGCACGGTTCAAACTCGCGATGTTGAATATGCTTATCATACCAGCGATTGGTCTTTTCTTTATATAACTTGGCATTCTCATATGCATGCAAGCGAAACTCATCAAGCTCGTTCAATTGCATCAACCGCTTTTTACCCACGAAGTCTGCATCAAAGTTTAGCTTCTTTATTGCCCAATAAGCCTTGTGCTCTAGTTCCACCAGTAAATGGCATGCTTTCCCCTAAACCAGCTTGTAAGGGGAGGTTTTGATTGGAGTTTTTTAGGCGGTCCGGTATGCCCATAGAGCATCATCAAGCTTTGCAGTCCAATCTTTCCTACTTGCACTAACTGTCTTCTCCAGGATCTGCTTTATCTCTCTATTTGAGACTTCAACTTGCCCACTAGGCTGAGGATGGTAAGCGGTTGCCACTTTACGTTTGACCCTATATTGCGCTAAGATATTGTCCAAGAGCTTGTTACAGAAATGGGTGCCCCCATCACTTTTCATCACTCTCGAAGTGCCGAATCATGTAAAGATATGCTTTTTCACAAACTTTACCACAACCTTGGCAACATTGGTAGGAAGAGCTATGGCGTCCACCCACTTTGACACATAGTCAAAGACCACCAAAATGTACTTACACCCACTGGACGAGGGAAACGGACCCATAAAATCAGTTCCCCACACATCAAAAATTTCAACCTCCATAATACCATGCAACGGCATTTCATGTCTTTTAGTAATTGTTCCTGTTCTCTAGCACCTATCACATCTCCTCACGAACTCATGGGCGTCTTTAAACACCCTAGGCCAATAGAGACCCGATTTCAACACCTTAGCTGTTGTTTTGTCACCTGCACGATGACCACCATAAGGCGAAGCACGACATTCATGTAAGATAGCATTGATTTTAGATTCGAGCACACATCTTCTCATTAATTGATCAATACATGACTTGAACAGAAATGGCTCATCCTACACATATGACCTCACATCTCGCAAGAACTTCTTTTTAGCATAAGGTTCAAGATCAGGCAGCATCTCTCCACTTTCTAGATAGTTCACAAAATCTGCATACCATGGCACCTCCCCAGCAGTAATGGCAAACAATTGCTCATCCGGGAATGTTTCCTTGATGACATCTCACTCAGTTACATGATTCCGAGTTTCTAACCTAGACAAGTGATTAGCCACTTGATTCTCTGTTCCTTTACGGTCTCGGATCTCCAAGTCAAATTCCTGCAAGAGTAAAACTCAACGGATTAGCCTTGGTTTAGCATCTTTCTTTTCAAATAAATACCTGATAGCAACTCCTTTCTATGTATAATTTATTTGAGCGGGAGTGAGAGTCTTTCTTGTGTAGTAAATGGAGTGAAATATTTTGCTCCTCTTCTGGCCCAATACTCCCCCAATTGCACAATTACTCGCGTCACACATCAGCTCAAATGACTCGTTCCAGTCAGAAGCCACTATTATTCGTGCAGTCACTAACTTCTTTTTTCAGCTCCTCAATTGCTTTCAGACAAGCATCGTCAAACTTGAACGACACATCCTTCTCTAACAATCTGCTCAAAGAAGAGGAAATTTTTGAGAAATCCTTTATAATTCGTCGATAAAACCTGCATGTCCCAGAAAACTCCTAACTCCTTTAACTGAATTCGGTGGTCGAAACCTTTCAATTTCTTCCACCCTATCCTTGTCAACTTCTAGTCCATCTTTGGACACCTTGTGTCCCAGCATTATACCTTCACGTACCATAAAATGGCACTTTTTACAATTTAGTACCGGATTAGTCTCCTCACACCTGGCGAGCAATTTAGCAAGATTCGTTAATCATTCATCCCAAGATGATAGGAACCAACTCATCAGCCACGTAATCTAGGATGATAAAATTGCAGGAAAAATAAACTTCCCAGATTGCAACAGGACGTCCTCAATTACCCCCTCAAGATAAGCATAAGATCTATCAGCTAATTGTAGCATCACCGTGGTAGTTCTCGGAGCTTCTAAGCCCAATTGTTTGAACACCGACAACGACATCATATTGATACTTGCATCCAAATCACACAAAGCTCTACCCACATCAAATTCACCAATCCTCACGGGGATAGTGAAACTACCCGGATCCTTAAGATTTTGTGGAAGCTTATGTTGAATCCTGGAAGTAGCACCTTAGTAAGTTCTACGGTCTCAAACTCAGTTAACCTCCTTTTATTTGCCACTATGTCCTTAATATATTTTGCATATTTTGGGACCTCACGGAGCATGTCCACCAAAGGGATGTTCAAATGTATCTGCTTCAGCATATCTAGGAATTTGTGAAACATGTGGTCATCATTCTTCTTTCTCAATCTTTGAGGAAAAGCGGGTGGTGCCCTCTCTGATTTTTGCTCAGGCTCTATTGTGTTTCTCTCATCTACCTCTACAGGTTTTGGCACTCTTTCTTCTCCAAGCCCAGATTGCTCCTTTTTCTTCTGAGGCACTTCTACCAACTCTCTCCCATTTCTCAACGGCACTGCATTGACATGAGAATTTTTCTCTGTATCACTTGGAAGAGCCCAGCAGGTCTAATATTCTGATTGTTAGCCATTTGCCCAAACTGCCTCTCTAGATTTCTGAATTCTGTGCGTAATTGCTGATTGTCTATCATGAGCTTATTCATCATGTCAGTCAAACTCTCCTCTGCTTGTTGTGGAGGTTGAGGTGGATGATTGTAAGTTGCCCGAGGCCTGATTTTCTGATTTCCACCCCAAGAGAAGTTAGGATGATCCTCCAGTTCGGATTGTATGTGTTACCATATTGAGCATTTTGATTAATCGGCCCTCTAGCTTATTTCCCCACATAGTGGATGGATTCAGGATTTAAAGGGCATAGGTCACTTGTGTGACCTTCACGACATAATTCGCAGCAAGTAGACATCTGTTGCACATGCTGCATCTGTTGTGCTTGGTGCATTGTCATTTTATTCATCTGATTTGCTAATCTAAATATATCTGCCGTCATGGCTGAGAAATTATCAAGCTTGATTACACCTGCTGCCTTTTTGTTAAGTTTTCTTCGTGGTTATTCCCCATCTCCTTACCAATTATTATCATTAGCAATGATATTTTTTAGCAAGATCTATCTTGCCATGCAACTACACCTACATGCTGAGCAAGATTCATCTTTGATTCCTCGTCCAACCCAACTGAAACGGCTCATCCCTCACATATGACCTCACATCTCGCAAGAACTTCTTTTTAGCATAAGGTTCAAGATGAGGCGGCATCTCTCCACTTTCTAGATAGTTCACAAAATCTGCATAACATGGCACCTCCCCAGCAGTAATGGCCAAAAATTTCTCATCCTGGAATGTTTCCTTGATGACATCTCACTCAGCCACATGATTCCGAGTTTCTAACCTAGACAAGTGATCAGCCACTTGATTCTCTGTTCCTTTACGATCTCGGATCCTCATATCAAATTCCTGCAAGAGTAAAACCCAACAGATTAGCCTTGATTTAGCATCTTTCTTTTCAAACAAATACATGATAGCAAATCCTTTTTCTGTTACAGTATAATTTATTTGAGCGGGAGCGAGAGTCTTGCTTGTATAGTAAATGGAGTGAAATATTTTGCTCCTCCTCTGGCCCAATACGCCCCCAATTGCACCATCACTGGCGTCACACATCAGCTCAAATGGCTCGTTCTAGTCAGAAGCCAATATTATTGGTGCACTCACTAACTTCTTTTTCACCTCCTCAAATGATTTCAGACAAGTATCGTCAAACTTGAATGACACATCCTTCTCTAACAACCTGCACAAAGGAAAGGAAATTTTTGAGAAATCCTTTATTATTTGACGATAAAACCTGCATGTCCCAGAACACTCCTAACTCCTTTTACTGAATTCGGTGGTGGCAACTTTTCAATTTCTTCCACCCTAGCCTTGTCAACTTCCAGTCCATCATTGGACACCTTGTGTCCCAGCACTATACCTTCACGTACCATAAAATGGCACATTTCCCAATTTAGTACTAGATTAGTCTCCTCACACCTGGCGAGAAATTTAGCAAGATTGGTTAAGCATTCATCAAAAGAAGGACCAAACACAGAAAAATCATCCATTAAAACCTCCACAAAACGTTCCACCGTATCGGTGAAAATAGCCATCATACACCTTTGAAAAGTCATGGGTGCATTACACAACCCAAATGGCATTCTCATAAATGCATGTGACATAAGGGCATGTAAAATTGGTCTTTTCTTGATCCTTCGGGGCAATAGCAATCTGACTATACCCCGAATAGCCATCAAGGAAATAGTAGGATTCCTATCCCGCTAACCTGTCAAGCATTTGATCAATGAAGGGGAAAGGGAATTGATCTTTTTGTGTAGCATTATTCAACTTCCTATAGTCTATGCATATTTTCCAACTAGCCATAGTCCTAGTTGGGATTAATTCATTTTGTTCATTTACTACAACAGTCATACCCCTTTTTTAGGTACACATTGGACAGGGCTTACCCACTTGCTATTGGAGATAGGAAATACTATATCTGTGTCGAGCCACTTAATTACTTCTTTTCTTACCACCTCTTTCATGATTGGATTGAGGTGGAATTGATGTTCCACACTAGGCTTGTCTCCCTCCTCCATGAGTATTTTGTGCATGCAGAACGCAGGGCTAATACCTATTATGTCACACATCATCCAACCAATATCATGCTTGTGCTCCATCGGCACCCTTAAGAGCTTTTCTTTATGCAATTCAGACAAATGAGAAGAAACAATCACAGGTAAAGTGTTAGAATTTGCCAAATATGCATAATGAAGATGATATGGTAAGGGTTTAACTTCCAGATTTGGGGCCTCCTCAACTGAGGGTTTAGAAGGCGGGCCGATTGGCCTATCCAGAGGCTCAAATTGGGTTCTTTCTCTTATGTATTCGCACGATACATCCAGAATGTGCAACATCTCCTCAACCTATTCTTCAACTTCCAAGTGATTGAAAAACGTCAATGCCTTTTCTATTGCATCTTTTTTAAATGCTCTTTGCTATACGGCTAGTTAATTTTTCTCCATCACCAAAATAATGGCCATGTCCTCGTAATGACGAGTCGACTGAATGGCTCGATATACATTGAAGGCTGCTTCTTCATTGTCCACCCTCAGGATCATCCTACCTTCTTGGACTTTTATAATTGCATCACCAATAGCCAAAAGAAGTCGTCCCAAGATGACAGGAACCAACTCATCAGCCACGTAATCTGGGATGATAAATTTTGCAGGAAAAATAAACATCCCAATCTGCAACAGGACGTCCTTAATTACACCCTCAAGATAAACATAAGATCTATCAGCTAATTGTAGCATCACCGTGGTAGTTCTCGGAGCTTCTAATCTCGCTATATCTGCCCTCATGGCTGAGAAATTATCAAGCTTGATTACACCTGCTGCCTTTTTGTTAAGTGTTCTTCGTGGTTCCCCATCTCCTTGCCAATTATTATCATTAGCAATGAAATTTTTTAGCAAGATCTATCTTGCCATGCAACTACCCCTACATGCTGAGTCAAGATTCATCTTTGATGCCTCGTCCAACCCAACAGAAATGGATCATCCCGCACATATGGTCTCACATCTCGCAAGAACTTCTTTTTAGCATAAGGTTTATGATCAAGCGACATGTCTCCACTTTCCAGATAGTCGGGAATGCTTCCTTGATGACATCTCCCTCAGCTACATGATTTCGAGTTTCAAACCTAGACAAGTGATCAGCCACTTGATTCTCTGTTCCTTTACGGTCTCGGATCTCCAAGTCACATTCCTGCAAGAGTAGAACCAAACGGATTATCCTTGGTTTAGCATCTTTCTTTTCAAACAAATACCTTATGGCTGCATGGTTTGTGTAGACGATGACTTTTGTGCCAACCAAATAGGCCCGAAATTAATCGAACGCCCACACAATAGCAAGCAACTCCTTTTCTGTCACAGTATAATTTATTTGAGCGGGAGTGAGAGTCTTGCTTGCATAGTAAATGGAGTGAAATATTATGCTCCTCCTCTGGCCCTATACGGCCCCAATGTCACCATCATTGGCATCACACATCACCTCAAATGGCTCGTTCCAGTCAGGAGCCGCTATTATTGGTGCACTTACTAACATCTTTTTCACCTCCTCAAATGCTTTCTGACAAGCATCGCCAAACTTTAACGACACATCCTTCTATAACAACCTGCACAAAAGAGAGGAAATTTTTGAGAAATCCTTTATAAATCGACGATAAAACCTGCATATCCCAGAAAACTCCTAAATCCTTTTACTGAATTCGGTGGTGGCAACTTTTCAATTGCTCCCACCTTAGCCTTGTCAACTTCGGTCCATCTTTGGACCCCTTGTGTCCCAGCACTATACCTTCACGTACCATAAAATGGCACTTTTCCCAATTCAGTACCAGATTAGTCTCCTCATACCTGGCGAGCACATTAGCAAGATTGGTTAAGCATTCATCAAAAGAAGGACCAAACACAGAAAAAGTGGTTAAGCATTCATCCACAAACAATTCTACCTTATCGGTGAAATTAGCCATCATACACCTTTGAGAAGTCGTAGGTACATTGGCATTCTCTTCAATGTATAAGTGCCATAAGGGCATGTAAAAGTGGTCTTTTATTGATCTTCCGGGGACATAGCAATCTGATTATACTCCGAATAACCGTCAAGGAAACGGTGGGATTCCTGTCCGGCTAACCTGTTAAGCATTTGATCAATGAAGGGGAGAGGGAAGTGATCTTTTCGTGTAGCATTATTCAATTTCCTATAGTCCATGCATATTCGCCAACCAGTCACAGTCCTAGTTAGGATTAATTCATTTTGTTCATTTACTACAACAGTCATACCCCCCGTTATAGGTACATACTGAAAAGGGCTTACCCACTTGCTATCGGAGATAGGAAATACTACACCTGCGTCGAGCAACTTAATTACTTCTTTTCTTACCACCTCTTTCTTGATTAGATTTAGGCGATGTTGATGTTCCACACTACGCTTGTGTCCCTCCTCCATGAGTATTTTATGCATGCAGAATGCAGGACTAATACCTATTATGTAAGGCATCGCCCAACTAATGGAATGATTGTGCTCCCTCAGCACCCTTAAGAGCTTTTCTTCATGCAATTCAGACAAATGAGAAGAAACAATCACAGGTAAAGTGTTAGAATTTCCCTAATATGCATAATGAAGATGAGATGGTAAAGGTTTAAGTTCTAATTTTAGGGCCTCCTCAACTGAGTATTTAGGAGGCGGGCTGATTGGCCTATCCAGAGGCTCAAATTAGGTTATTTCCCTTATGTATTTGCACGATGCATCCAGAATGTACAATATCTCCTCAACCTCTTCTTCAAGTTCCAAGTGATTGAACAACGTCAATGCCTTTTCTAGTGCATCTTCTTTAAACGCCCTTGGCTCTATGGCTGGTTCATTTATCTCCACCACCAAAATCATGGCCAGGTCCTCGTAATGACGAGGAAATTAAATAGATCGATATACATTGAAGACTGCATCTTCATTATCCACCCTCAGGATCATCTCACCTTCTCGGACTTTGATAATTTCATCTCCAGTGGCCAAAAGAGGTCGTCCCAAGATGATAGGAACTAATTCATCAGCCACGTAATCTATGATGATAAAATTTAGAGGAAATATAACTTCCCAATCTGCAACACGACGTCCTCAATTACCCCCTCAGGATAAACATAAGATCTATCAGTTAATTGTAGCATCACCGTGCTGGGTCTCAGAGCTCCTAAGCCCAATTGTTTGAAAACTGGCAACGACATCAAATTGATACTTGCACCCAAGTCACACAAAGCTCTACCCACATCAAATTCACCAATCCTCACGGAGATGGTGAAACTACATGTATCCTTAAGCTTTTGTGGAAGCTTATATCGAATCCAGGAAGCGCACTCCTCAGTAAGTGCTACGATATCAAACTCAGTTAACCTCTTTTTATTTGCCACTATGTCCTTAATATGTTTTTCATATTTTGGGACCTAACGGAGCATGTCCAGCGAAGGGATGTTCAAATGTATCAGCTTCAGCATATCTAGGAATTTGTGAAACATATGGTCATCATTCTTCTTTCTCAATCTTTAAGAAAAAGGAGGTGGTGCCCTCTCTGATTTTTTTGCTTAGGCTCTGTTTTGTTTCTCTCATCTACCTCTACAGGTTTTGGTACTCTTTCTTCTTCAAGCCCAGATTGCTCCTTTTTCTTCTCAGGCACTTCT